TAATTGAAAATGGGCTTCTGCTGACTAAAATCCAAACTCTGTATGTTATGCAAGACTTTACCTATCTGGCCCAATCTTACCTTTTTAGCCATTTCCCTAACCTCTAGAGCAGGGAAATACCTAAAGTTTCCCAAACATGCTATATTTCTAGGGCCACTCTTTGTTTCGTCTGTCTGAATGCCTTACTCTACTCCATCCACAATCGTCTCCTTGGGATGATATCCTTATTCACATTCCCAGGGGCCTAAGTTAAAAATCCCCTCTGCAAAATCTTTAATTACTCTGATCAGAAATTGACAAATATTTCCTATTAAAGGCCAGACAGTAAATATTAGAGGCTTTTTTTTTTGGGGGGGGGATCTTGGGGGGTTGCGGGTGGGGATGAAGTATAAGATCTGTCTAAACTCTTCACTCTGCCATGAGGGCACAAAAGCATAAAACAGATGTGGCAGTATACAGGCAGCAGCTTAATTTGGCCCAAGGGCTGTATAGTTTGGCAATTCCTGCCCTAGACAAAATTTACCACATAGTTTGTGGTCACCTACATTTAGATTGTAAGCTCCTTGAAAAAAGAACCTCTTAATAACTTTTAATTCCCTCCCTCACCCCACCACAGTACCAAATGGCAATAAAAACAAAAACAAATCAGCAAATATTTATTAAATAAGCAAAACAAAACAATAATATTCTATCATATATAGCCAATGAAATAATAAGTAGTATGTTCCAAAAAACAGATGGAGCACAAACATCTGACTTATCTAGGTATTACTTTAAAGCAGCAATTCCTAAGATACCTATGTTACTCACTAGCCTCCGGCTGTCCAGATTCTACACTTATCAAATACATTTTAATATTTTTTTCCTAGCATTGGGAAGAATCCAGTTAAGTGTCAGACTTCATCCAGAAATACTGTAAATCAATATCCTCAGACAGCTAATAGATGTACATAAAACTAAGACTCAAATTTCTGATTTGGAGTTATTTGTCCTAAAGTATAAAACATATATGCATCTGTGGTCAGTCATTCTTCAAAAATAAAAACAGCCCTTGCTATTTTGGCTCAGTGGATAGAGTGTCAGCCTGTGGACTGAAGGGTCCAGATTTGATTCTGGTCAAGGGCACATACCTCAGTTGCAGGCTCAATCCCGGGCCCTGGTCGGGGCTTGTGTGGAAGGCTACCAATCGATGTGTCTCTCTCACATCAATATTCTCACTATGTCTCTCACCCTTCCTTCCACTCTCTCTAAAAATCAACTGATATGTGAGGATTAACAAAAACAAAAATAATAAACAAATAGGGAGAATACATAGTTCTTGCCTGATTGACACTCAAACAATAATAAGTGTTTATTTGACAGCTGATATTCTCATTAGGTAGCCTAAGGATAGCTAACATAGGTGCTTAGCCATGGCCTTTCATTCTAGAAGAAATACAGTATTTCTGCTCTACTAGTAACATAGAAAAGATGGAGCGGTCAGGAAAAAGTGGAGATGGCATGGGACTCTTGCTTCAGTGGCTAATAAAATCACAATTTAAAAATTATATTCACTTTAGATGAAATAATGTTTAGTAAAATTATGAATGACAATGAGACATTACTTAAAATAGCTATAAATATGGAAAAAAGACAATCAGAAAAGTATAAATAGCCCTAACTGGTTTGGCTCAGTGGATACAGCGTCGGCCTGTGGACTCAGGGGTCCCAGGTTCGATTCCAGTCAAGGGCATGTACCTTGGTTGCAGGCACATACCCAGTAGAGAGTGTGTAGGAGGCAGCTGATAGATGTTTCTCTCTCATCGATGTTTCTAACTCTCTCTCCTTCTCCCTTCCTCTCTGTAAAAAATCAATAAAATAGATTTAAAAAGAAAAGTATAAATATATGCTGTAGAAGACTTTTTATGTTCCAGCAATGCAATGATTATTTCCAGCCATTATAACAAATAAAAAACTATTTTTAAAATTATAATGACAACAAATACTTAATAGCACTTACTATACGCTAGACCCTTTCCTAAGGACCTTACATATTATTAACCTATTTATTCCTCATGATAACCCTGTGAGGTAATACAACAATCCCCTCTGTACAGCTGAAAATGAGGCAGAGAGAAGTAGAATGACCAAGTAACACAGCTAGTAAGTGGCAAAACCAAGACCTGACGGCAGGCAATCGGGTTGCCAATGGTCCATGCTAAACCACTAGCTCTTTCCTAATATCTTTTCCACTATTTCCTAAGTCTTATTTCTATAAATAAACCATCTTAGACTAAAATCATAAACTCCAGGAGAGCTTCAATATTGGGAGAATAGAGATGGTTTTCTCCCTCTTCTCAAGTAATTCTAAAAATTAGAGGGGAAAAAAGAAATATGCTCCCTAAAGGGACAAAATGCCTCTCTCAACAGTAATCTGTCAGTTCCTAAGTTGAGGACTTTTTGTGCTGTGCTTTCTTTCTCTTTTAGGTTTATCCTTTAACTTCTCTCTTCTTCACTTTCGGTTTGAATTTTCAGATTAAATAAAAATTACATAATGATATGAACGTATTTTTCCATATGTACTAATTGTCATTTCTTTTTGATTCTCATACTGCTTCTTGCTAAATAAAATAAAGGGTTTGACTGTGAGCGTAATTGAAATTATTCCTAAATTTTAAAAATAACTAAACATAACTACATGATATGCTTATGTTATGACCCATATAAAGCACTACCGCCCTGACCGGTTTGGCTCAGTGGATAGAGCGTCAGCCTGCAGACTGAAGGGCCCCAGGTTCGATTCCGGTCAAGGGCATGTATCTTGGCTGCAGGCACATCCCCAGTGGGGGGTGTGCAGGAGGAAGCTGATCAATGTTTCTCTCTCATCGATGTTTCTAACTCTCTATGCCTCTCCCTTCCTCTCTGTAAAAAATCAATAAAATATATTTTAAAAAAAGCACTACCACTGGTGTAGAAAATTAATTTAATAAAAACAAATGTAAATATCAATACATTCTATGTATAAAACTCTAAGCCAGTGGTCAGCAAACTATGGCTCGGCAAACCAGCTCGAGAGCCACATGCAGCTCTTTGGCCCCTTCAGTGTGGCTCTTCCACAAAATACCGACTTCTAACATATATAGTAGAATAAAGGATTCCTATGTGTATATATATACATACACATATATATGTGTTTATATATATATATATAAAATATATATATGCTATAAATAATTCTCTAAAATCGTCTATACTAAAGTTTAACCATATTAAGCCCATGACAAATTACCAGTATCTTCAGTTGGTTCTAAAATGTTTTCTCCTGCTTCCAGTTTCCCTTATTACAATCCTCTCCCCACTGGCAACTATAAACAGATGACTTTATTCACCAAGATCAAAGTCATCAAGAATATATAGCCCCTCATAAATGGCTTTGTCAACTTGAAGGCATGCACTTTTTCTACAAAGATACCAGCTACTACAGGTTTCCTCTTCTCCCACATTGCCAACAAAAATCATATATTATGCCCTAACCGGTTTGGCTCAGTAGATAGAGCATCGGACTAAAAGGTCCCAGGTTCGATGCCGGTCAAGGTTGTACCTTGGTTGCGTGCACATCCCCAGTAGGAGGTGTGCAGGAGGCAGCTGATCGATGTTTCTCTCCCATCGATGTTTCTTACTCTCTATCCCTCTCCCTTCCTCTCTGTAAAAAATCAATAAAATATATTTTTTTTAAAAAAGAAGTTAATGTTTTTTAAAAAAAAAAATCACATACTAAACGGTCTTGGGAAATATTTTCCAAACAAAATGATACCAAATTTTCTATTTTACTGTGAGAAAATTTTTGATGACCCTTTTAGTTTTGATCACATTACTTGGAAAGACATTTTTCCATAAAATAACTACATAAAATCTTGGTTAGAATCTTTACAACAAAACAAAAGACAAAATGATAAATTCCACAGCAAAGCTATAAATCTTTTTTCTTTGAAAATCAACTTCAAGAGTATCCCAAAAAACCCTGGAAGATTCACGTATACAGCAATGTTAACAAAATTCTATAACCCTGAGAATTAAAAAAATACTGATTTTAACCAGATAATTTCCTAACAACTACTAATTACAAAGACTATTAAAATACACACCAACTTCATTAAAATCTTCAAAGGTGATTTTCCCTGTGGCTTCTCTGTCATAATCTTTAAGAATCTTCAGTACATCAGCTTTTTTTACATCAAACCCCAAAGCTCTCATTGCCACCTTTTGGAATAAGAGGGAAAAGCAAATTATAAAGCATTCTTTAAAAAAAAGAAGTGATTTCTTAAATAAATTTTTACAACTTAAGGGATGATGACACATTAATAAAACATGTAATTCTTTTGCATGTTTTATGACTCTAAAATAGAAAAGAGATAGTTTTTCTTCACTATGAAATTAAATGGCAATTTGTTAACTTTATATATCATTTTTTATATGACAAACCAATCAATGAGTGTTTATGGAATATACTATACAATGTACTGACATAGTGCACAGATATAACAAGTTCTATGTTCTCAAAGGATTAACAACCAAAAAACAAAAAGGGGCATAGCATAAATATTAAAAAGTTATACACTATGAGATTAAAACACACTGAAATAAGAATTATCATCAGACCCTACATGATTAGTTACCAGATAGTGCATGACCCCAAATTTAGAGAAAGAAGATCCTATTACTATACTAGAGGCCCAGTGCACAAATTCGTGCACCAGTGGGGTCCAGCTGGCCTAGCCCCAATCAGCGGGTCAGGGCTGGGCCTGTCATGAGGAGACAGGAGGAGGTTGGCCAGCCAGCCCACCCTGATCGGGGCACTATCAGGACCGGGCTGGCTGTGGGGAGGGGCAGCAGGCGATTGCCCTGTGGGCCCTGCCCCCAATTAGGATGGGGGGCTGATTGGGGGCAGGGCCAGCTGTGGGGAGGAGCTGTGGGCCAACCGGCCCCACCCCCAAATGGGGTCAGAGGGCCGATCAGGGGTCAGCAGCCAGGGAAGGGGCCATGGGAGGTTGGCCAGCTGCCACCCTCAATGGGTGGGAGAGGCCAATCAGGGGTGGGGCAGGCTGAGGGAGAGGCTGCAGACCAATTGGGGTGGTGGTGGCCCTTCGGAGGCGGGGCCAGCTGGGGGTGGGGGGGTTGCAGAAGGTTGGCCAGCCAGCCCTGCCCCAATTGGGGTAGAGGGGGCAATCAGGGGCAGGACCGGCCAGAGGTAGGGGCTGCGGGCCAATGGGGGTGGTGGGGCCAGCCAGGGGAAGGGGCTGCAGGAGGTTGGTTGGCTAGCTCTGGCCCCTTTTGGGGTTGGTGGGGGCAATCAGGGGTGGGGCCGGCCGGGGGGAGGAGCCACGGAGGGTTGGCCAGCCAGCCCCACCCCCGGATCAGGCTGGTTCGCTGGCCACAGTGGGCATCATAGCAACCAGTCATTCTGGCATTACAGTCACTGGCTTTTTATATATCTAGACTAAAGGCTTGGTGCACAGAGTCATGTAAAAGTGGGGTCTCTCAGCCTGGCCTGTGCCCTCTCACAATCTGGAACCCCTCAGGGGATGTTGGAGAGCCGGTTTCAGCCCAATCAGCCAGGCGAGGGATCCACAGGTGCATGAATCCATGCACCAGGCCTCTAGTAAGAGTTATATTAGGAATCCATTTTGAAATTTATTATAAAAATATCCCAACCCTCTACCACTCCCTGACTCACACAAAAGCACAGGGACAGCACTGGCATTTCTGAGTTCCATCCTGTTCTTAGTGTATGCTGATCCATTCTAGGTCATTTCCTGTGGTTACTAATTAATTCTTCTTCCTACACTTTCTAATTATAGTGTTTGTTAGGTTCAACTAGGTTATGGTCCAATAACAAAGACAGTATTTAGTAGCATAACACAGCAAGTGTTTATTTTTTTGCTCCTGTAAACATGAACACTGAACAGACGATATTCCTGTCTTGTGTTTAAAAAAAAAAAATTTGGTTAATCTCTTCCTGCCCTCCCCTCTCCCCGCTTCTCTCTGAGATTCATCAGTCTGTTCCATGTTTCCATGCCTATGGTTTCCGCTCCTGTGTTTAGCATCTGCCCCCTGGTGGTCAGTGCACATCATAGCTACCAGATGGTCAGCCGGTCGGCCGGTCAGCTGGTCGCTTAGGCTTTTACACACACACACACACACACACATATAAAGAAAGGAGAGACATGTTACCAGTTAAAACTTGGAGGGATTCAAGTTGTTCCTTGATATATGGATTAGTGAAGCAGAAGGATATTTAGAAAAGGATTACTGGTATTAAGACACCAAAATAGAACTAGGAAGAAAATGGCGGAGGTATAGACGGACGTGTCCCGTGCCTTGTCCCGGAGCAGATAAGGGTGAGCAGCTGAAACGGGTAACATACAGCCCGAATAAGCAGAAGATATTCAGCTAGGAGACAGTTTGCAGCTGGGAAAGACAGAGGACTCCCGGAGAAAGGGGACGGTTGGAGACAGCAGCTGAAATCTCTCCTGGAGCGCCGGCTCAGCCGCAGAAACTGCACCATCTTGAGTGGCTGTTGTTGGAAGCATATACATCCAAAGACCCGGCATCCACGGCATCCAGAGATCAGCTACTAACCCGGAAACAACAGATCTCAAGCAGCGCAACTACGTGGACTTAGAGGAACCCTGCTTCTCCTCACGGAAAGGTCAGATTTCCCTTAAAGGTGCAGTTTGCAATTCAGTTTGGAGAGAGGAACACACGGGAAATCTGCGCCCCACAAAGTCTGCGGCCATTGGGACCAGCGTGATCCGCGAGTGTGGAAGGGCTCCCGCAGGGCTACTGGCAGAAAGGAACGCTAAAAATAAGCCCATAGCTGGACTGGATGCAAAAAAGCAGCCTCGGATTTTGCCAGTGTGCTGCTGCTTAGTGCCAGGGGATAGAGGACACATGGAAGAGACTACGCACAGAGCTGGAAGGTGGAAGGTTGCGAATTCGCGTAACTTCTCAGGCTCTTGTTTTTTCTCTTCCCCTTAAATCTTTGTGTTTGATTATTAAACCCAGTGCAACTTAACAATAGAAAGATAAACAATCCAATCAAAAAATAGGCAACGGACCTAGATAGACACTTTTTGAAAGAGGACATGCAGAAGGCCGAAAGACATATGAAAACATGCTCAAAGTCACTAATCATCCAAGAGATGCAAATCAAAACGACAATGCGGTATCATCTCACTCCTGAGAAGGATATTTAGAAAAGGATTACTGGTATTAAGACACCAAAATAGAACTAGGAAGAAAATGGCGGAGGTATAGACGGACGTGTCCCGTGCCTTGTCCCGGAGCAGATAAGGGTGAGCAGCTGAAACGGGTAACATACAGCCCGAATAAGCAGAAGATATTCAGCTAGGAGACAGTTTGCAGCTGGGAAAGACAGAGGACTCCCGGAGAAAGGGGACGGTTGGAGACAGCAGCTGAAATCTCTCCTGGAGCGCCGGCTCAGCCGCAGAAACTGCACCATCTTGAGTGGCTGTTATTGGAAGCATATACATCCAAAGACCCGGCATCCACGGCATCCAGAGATCAGCTACTAACCTGGAAACAGTGGATCTCAAGCAGTGAGACTATGTGGACTTAGAGGAACCCTCCTTCTCCTCGCGGAAAGGTCAGATTTCCCCTAAAAGGTGCGGTTTGCAATTCAGGTTGGAGAGAGGAATGCACTGGGGAAATCTGTGCTCCACAAAGTCCGTGGCCAGTGGGGCCAGCGTGATCTGCGAGTGTGGAAGGGCTCCCACAGGGCTGCTGGCAGAAGGGAACACTAAAAACAAGCCCATAGCTGGACAGGATGCAAAAAAAGCAGCCTCGGATTTTGCCAGTCTGCCGGCTGCTTGGTGCCAGGGGCGAGTGGGCATGCAGAGACTGCTGCTTAGTGCCAGGGGATAGAGGACACATGGAAGAGACTACGCACAGAGCTGGAAGGTGGAAGGTTGCGAATTCGCGTAACTTCTCAGGCTCTTGTTTTTTCTCTTCCCCTTAAATCTTTGTGTTTGATTATTAAACCCAGTGCAACTTAACAATAGAAAGATAAACAATCCAATCAAAAAATGGGCAACGGACCTAGATAGACACTTTTCGAAAGAGGACATGCAGAAGGCCGAAAGACATATGAAAACATGCTCAAAGTCACTAATCATCCAAGAGATGCAAATCAAAACGACAATGCGGTATCATCTCACTCCTG